ACTATCACTACTACTACCTACTACTACTACTACTACTACTACTACTACTACTACTACTACTACAACTACAACTACAACTACTACTACTACTACCACAACTACTACTACTACTACTACTACGACGACGACAACGACGACGACGACGACGACTACGACGACTACGACTACGACTACTACGACGACGACGTCGATGACGATTACTACTATTTCTACTCGAATATCTCTGATACTAACTGCGCTACTACTACGAACTCGACCACAACCATTACGACGACGACTACTACTTAATCTCCTACATCTGCTTCTGCTACTACGACTTCGTAGTAGTACCACGTACCACGGGTGCTACTGCTAGTAACCGGTCGTGCTGATGGGCTGGCACTTGCAAGTAGTAGCAGGAGCCGGAACATCTCCCCAATCCATGCTGCAGCGGTAAGCAATGTTGCATGCAGTAAGCTCAAATACTGGGACCCAGGGGGCAGGACGCACCCTGCGCATTCGCCTTGCAACAGCGCTGCCGGCGTGCCAGGCGAAGAATGAAAGTGCGCAGGGGTGCCTGCTTTGCACTCAGCTTCTCTATACTTTGCATGGTGTTGTGATATTCTCGGCATTTCTAGGAGTCTAGGAGCTGACTCTTTGAAGGTTTCTGTGGCTAAAATGGCCAGGATCTCAAAACGCGGAGGGGGTGTTCCAGGAGAGAGGTTTGAGATTGAAAGCGCACCGGTTCGGAAGCTACAAAGGTGTAAGGATCCATTTGGCAACGGCTCCGAGGACTGGCAAAAGAAGGCGTCCTCAGAAACGGAAGGGTGCAGCAGCATGTGGAAACAATTTTGGCCTGGATACTGGACCCCATCACATGCAGTTGTTAGGACTCGAGACCTGTTAGGCTCGTGGGGCCTTTTGCAGGCTTTGTAATTCCGAAGCACGACACCCCAGCGCCTGGACCCTTCATTGGCACCGGTGTCGCAGCGTTCATGGGCGTCTGCGGAGCGCCGTACTGATATCCTGGAGATGCCAGTCCTCCGACACTCCCCGGGGCACTTCCCGGTGCTGCGCCCACACTGCCCGGCATACCAACGCGAGGGCTGCGCATACCCGCAGGGGTGGCAGCGTTTGACTCTTGGGCAAAGAAAAAACGAGCTGATTGACCGGAAGGTGTCTGCAGCCCTGAAGTCGTGGTTGCGGTGTAGCCGAGGGGTCTATGCCTCTTGAACCGGTGTTCTGGATCTGCATGGTCGCCGCGCTTGTCCTTCAAGACTTGCGCTTGCAGCTTTCTGTCCTCCTTGTAGTCCCGTCGCAGTTTCTGCGCATTCCTCCATCCGACCTTTTTGAACCATGAGATCATCTGCTCCAAGGAATCAAAGTTGTGCTTCCACAAGCTGAAGCCCCGCGGAGTGATTTCGATGAGCTCATGCCTCACGCTTCTGCCCTGCATGCACCAGAGAAGATCACCATGCCCAGGCTCATCAAAGTTCAGCAGCAGAGTGTAGTGCAGCATGTGGTTGTCACTACTGATCTGCCGCATGGCCTGCTCAACAGTCGTTTTCTCGAGGAGAGTGCCATTGCGCAAGCCGAAGCGTTTGTGCTCCTGCAGCAGCCGCAGGTTGTCCATGATTGGGTCCTGGAGAAAACTGAAATTGAGATGGACATGGGACCTGCAGTCGGAACATGACTCTCCAAGCACGGGGTCCATGTGTCGCGCAATGATTTCGTCAAAGTCCCGGTACAGGTACCCATCAACCTCGAGGTGAAAAGTCATTGATCCAGACAAACGATGTGACAACAAGTGACACAAACACACACACACACACAATATGGAGGACAACTGGAGCTGGAAAAGTAAGAGTGCATGCTTCCGCATCTACGTGTGCCCAGCCCCAGCTTATGCAATGGAAAATTACCCATTCACGTGCCGAGCCGTTAACGGGAGCGGAGACGAAACTAAAGCCACTTTCAACTGCGACCCCGACGACTGCGGCTACAGTGTGTATGTTGTTCCCATGAGCCGCGATAGCCGCAGGTAGTACTCGCGTGCGGTGTGCCTCCAGCTCGGCTGCGACCTCAAAGCCGTCTCCATATGACCTGAGCGCGGTAGGTCAATTCAACATTGGCGTGGCTAACAGTGCCGTTGTCAGTACCATGATCTGAGTCTTGCTGGGCTTAGCGCTGCTTCCATCGAGTACTGGTACTAGTGCCAGTGCTACGAAAGCACCTTTCCTCCTTCTACATATACCCGTACTCCAACGACAAATACTTATTGTTGCTAACTTTGCGGTAGCGGGGTGCCAGTACTATTTAGTAGGCACCACAGCAAGTGTTCGCATCAACATGCGTCAAGCTGTTCCCGTGCCCAGCGGCGCAGCCCGGCGTGATCACATTGCTATTCTATGTCTGATCCTCCGTCCCAAACTGCGAACTCTTGGCTTCCGACTTTTTTTCTCTCTTCTCAAAGACATCGAACCTTCTGTAGCACCTGCTTGGAGTGGGTCCCGACTTGGCTCTTCGGCTCAGGATTTTGAGATCGGAGCCTGGAACGGAACAGTGAACAGCACAAGAAACAAGTTTCAGCCCGAGCCGCTTGAATGCTTCCACCACCCCTCCAGTGCCGCTGGCAACCTCTCGGTCTTGAGTTGGTAAGACCTGGCCAACATCATCGGGACATCAGACTGCGATAAGTATGGAACATTCCTGGCGAAGTGACCAGCCTTGAGCATTGCAACGAGAACATCATGGTGCTTCGACGATCGGAAGAGCACTGTACCTCAAAGCATCGCAAGTCTCAGGACCATCAATCCTTACTGGTGCCAAAACCCTCGCCTACGGTCAACACACGATACAGCTGAAGCGGGACTATGCATACGCCCCAGTCAAGAGCATGTGTGGAGGTCGTAACAGTTTCATAAATCGCCAATGGCAGAGGGTACATGCAGCGGAGATCCTCTCAGAAAGCCCAGCATCAGCAGAAACACACGCAGGGTACCAGCAGAGGTCATAGTCGCAAAACTCATGTGCCGTGTAGTGGTCGTAGAAGTAGTTGTAAGTGTAGCGGTTCTGGCGGCAGAACAATGGAAGCAGTGATAGCAGGAGCAGCAGCTGACGTGGTGGTGGTGGTGGTGGTGGTGGTGGTGCTGCTGCTGCTGCTGATGCTGCTGGTGCTGGTGCTG